ATTGGCCATTTCTGTCCAACAGCCACATCACGGAGGGAGTTCCCCTTCAAAATTCATACCCACTTTCTGGAACCCTGGCGACTCAAGAAAGGTGGAAGGCTGTCCCTCATTGCCATTGCCGCTTCTCTTGGAGCACTGAAACCACAAACCGCAGGCGGGACCACTCCCCACCCAGCTGAGCTTCACTTTGCCGTGTTCGGCCTCTCAGATTCAAAGATTTTCACCCTATCAAAAGAAACATTCTCCGGAGCGGCTCCCATTCATGCCCAGGTGAATTCTGATCACCCAACGAAGGGCCGTGTTTTGTTTTTGCCAGGACTGTTCACCAGGATCAGTATGAATTGTGGACCTTTGACCATCAAATCAAACTCATTTCGATTGGTGGAGTCACAATCAAACCCCGGTACTAAAATTGTCTACCCAAAACCATGAAGGACGCACCCATTTGTGGTTCGGACTGTCCCTATCCTTGACCTAGGGTTTTGATTGCTCAGTTGACCAAGCCAGTTTGGGACCAAAGCAGCAGGCCCCGGTATTGCAGCTTCACCGTGTACTTCAACAAGGATGGAGAGGACGCACCTTGGAGAGAGATCTGGGCACCTTTCAGAGGGTGAATGTGGGTTTCCTTTCAGTGGGGTGTCGTCAAGGTCCCCAAGATTCCCCAAGTTTTGAGCAAGAGGGACAACACTGTCAGTAGAGTGCTCATTTTGTTGGGGCCAATCCCCATACCAAGGGAACAGTTGGAAGGCTATCACAGTGGTTGCGGATGTAGACGCGCGAGGCCAAGCTTTGGAGGTGGTCTGACAGCCAGGGACACCCCCCAAATGAGGGGTTGAATCATCTGGAAGAGTCCAACCCTTAAGAGTGCGGAAGGCCGGGTGCGTGCAGCTTTTTGAAGCCTCTTCTCCCCCCTTTCCTCCCCCCCCCCCCACCAAAAGCCCGAAAATTAGGATCCACCCCACCCCTCGCCGAATTTGTTGGCCTCACAGTGGCCTAAGCACGTCCGCCTGTCGAACAAAAGCCCCGCCGAGGGAAGTGTGGCTGTGAAGGCGAAGGAGGGCCAGACCTTGCTTGAGGCGAGCCGATGCACAGCAGAGAATAGGTTTCCTTTGGTTTCTCGTTAAAGCCGCAAAAAAAACGGGGGTACCCTAAAAAACGATAAGCACCAAAATGGGCACACGAAATATGAATCACATAGAGACGTATAATCTATGTTGCCCTCGACAACAATGGCTGTACAGTTTCTTTTTCGAATATTACAATTCGGTATATTTGGTGGCAGCCCGCAAGCAAACCAGTCCGTTTACAGGGCCGCAAATCTTGCTGCTGAGGACCTCAGCAATGGAACATTGCAAACAAATAATACAAGAAGCATACTCTGAACATATTGCTTTTGGTGTACCGCCGCAATCACGTCGATGTATTGAGCGACACACGGTTAAAGGAGTACAGTGCTTCTGCCCATTGGCTTGCTGGAGCCACAAATGAGAACTTCGGCAAGGGGAGGGTGGAGTACAGCTCGCCGTTTGGGTCGACTTTCTGAGGTTTTTATTGTGACATCCCACCCCCTATACGTCAAGTATAGGAAGCGTACCCTCAACAAAGGGCCCCTTCCCAGTTGTTTTGTTTCCCTGTCGTGGGTACAATGGACTGTCACGTTTGCCTTGTCTTATGGTTTATAGGCAGCACCGAAGTGTTTCCCACTTAGGGCTGGAGAGATTCTGACAATCTTTCCAAGGTAGGGGTGGGTAATTGGTGCGCGATTTACTTACAAAGGTGGACAGGGGAGTTCAGTGGGACTTCTGGGGGCAAGTTGCGAACACCCCAGAAATCTAAGTCGAAGTCGTCAGGTGGCCCATGAGAACGACATAGACATCGAGGGCGCCTGTGGCGGAGAATGCGCTTGCAGCACCTGCCACGTCATCCTGGAGGAGGACGGAGGGCTTCTGAGAGGCGCCTTTTGAATTGTTTTCTTGCAAAAGAGAAGGGGGGCAGGAATTGTAAGCAGGGTAGCTTTGGTGCATTTTGCTTGCATGTTAGGACTTTACCTTTTGCGAACTCATGGGGGTTTCCATTAAACCACTAAAAGTTAAACTTTTAGCAGGGGAGCAGAAAGCAACCGAGGTAAGGCAAAATGTGCTTAAGCAATCAGACCAAGGGGAACTCCAAAGAGTCTGTGTGTGTGCAGGGGTGTGTGAGGAAAGGAACCTGAACATGGCCTCTGATTCTTTTGGAGTCCCAAAGCTTTTCAAGGTCCCAAAACCGGCAAGATGGAAGAAGCACTCCGAAGGTTTCAATAGGGTGACGGCAAAGATAGGTTTCGAGGATAAACAAGGGCCATGGCGAACACGGCAGGTTTCAAGGATGGTTGCAAGGGCAGGCCTGAATCCTGGGGGACTGAAAAAACTGCCTCAGATTTCTCTGCATCCGCCGAACTCAGAAGGCGAACATGTTCTGCGAAGGAACAAACTGTGGAGGAGAAAACAACAGGTTCCAAGTTGATTCAACAGGGCTTATGATGAATCAAACGATGTTGGCTGTTTCAGACTGCTGGTCTCCTTTGACACAACACACACACTCACACACACACACGCAGAGAGCCACGTTTCAGCATCCGACCACACGAGGCAAACGCACCTGTCTGGGAGGCGCTTGGGCCTTTGCGATCCTCAACTTATCTGCAACTTGGACCTCTTTTTGGGGGTTGTTGAATTGAGAGAAACCAAAGCGAAATCGATTTCGTTTGGAGGTCTAGAGACAGACCCAAATGCAGAGGGCCGTCCACAGCAATCCTTGGAGCCTCCTGCAAAAGCTTGACAAACGTAAATGCGAAGCTGCTGGCGTGCCCCTTCAATATCTTAATTGATGTTGTTGGGCCACTGGGAGAATCTTACTGCCACACCCGAATCAGACAAAAAAACACGCGACATGGTCCGGTTCAAAAGGCATGAATGCCGGCGGGCGCAGCCAGAGCAGCATCCAAGAGCCAAACCCCAGGCAGAGTCAGCAGGCCACGGATGGATGCAGGTGCAGAAGCGCGATCGGTGCACCTGCCCGACAGCACACACACACACACAAGTTTCCGCCTCAAGCACAGTTCTACCCATGGCCAATGGCTCAACTTGACTGACACCAATGGGCACAACGAAGAGATATGCAGTGGCTCATCCAACGCCTCATGAGCCATGCATCAGCATCCCAGAGATGCAACGCCTGCCAAATCCTAGCAACATGGGCTCCGTGCTTATTTGAACCCTCAAGAACGCGCAATCCAACCCTAGTGATGGGGATGCAAACTCAAACGAGCGGGGGAACTTTGAAAGGCTCTACAAATGCAGGTCTTCGCGCAGCAAGGCAAACATGGGTCCCAGCCTTTGGCTGCAAATGAGATTCCGCACGAACATCTGAGCGTTTTGATCCGAGTGCTCAGCATCACCCTCAAATCAACACACATGTCCGGTTGACTTTCGGTCAGTTTTTTGTTTCTTTTCCGCGGTAGCGACCATACAGCATGTGGTGTCGGTGTGTGTGTGTGTGTGTGTGTGTGTCGGTGTGTCGGTGTGTGTGTGTGTTGTGTGTGTGTGTGTGTGTGTGTGTGTGTGTGTGTGTGTGTGTGTGGGGAGCGTCTCAAAGTTTCAGGACGCTGGGCGTTGGTTTCCTGCAGAATTCTTTTTCCCTCGCAGATCCCAGGACCTTAGAAGTAGACGGGTTCCGCTGGCCATTTACCCCGGAAGCCCATCCAAGTTTTGCCACAAGGTCGCTTATGTACATTCAGACCGAAGCACCGTGTCGTGGAACACCTTTTTTGGTACCAACCAATGTCTTCGCTTCACGGTTTCGAGGATGCCTTCAGCAAGTTGCCAGCCCCTGATGATGACGAGGCGGGAGACCCCTATGAACCCTGGGGGTGTCCCAGTTGTGGGGATCGACATGTCTGGGTTACTCCATGTTTCTTTTGGACCAACTTGGACATGATTTCGACCCCTTGGGCAAGGGTTGAAATCAGAGAACATGAACTGGGGTCTCAAAATGTGGACTCCCAAAAACGCTGGTTCTTCTTTGGCATCCCTTTGACACGTGGTTTGCGACATCCGAGCCATCCCAAGCCATCCCAAAGATTCTGCAGGGCTCCCGGACTTCGCTTTTGAACGTGAAAGCCCATTTCACACCACTTGGTCGGTGCTCGAGGCTTGTACAGGGTTGCTAGCTGCTGGTTGGAAGGGAGCCGTTCCGGAGCTGGTGGAATCCAAAAAATTGCTCTTGAAGAGAGAGCTGAGGGGCTACCAGGAGTTCTGTAAGGCTTGAGCTTGCCCGTCCACTGTATTTCAGAACATGGCGACTTGGGAATGAGCAGTTCACAAACTTGATACAACTCGATAGATGCGAATCACACGAGCATCTAACCACAAGAAGATGACACGGGTGGTCTGCCAAACGTGCAGCTCGTGTTGCGCGTGTAGACTCATCGCCTTGTCCATGGCCCGTTTGGACCTGGTTGCCCGGGGGTGGAGCTCAGCCTTGACAAGGTCCACTACTATTGGAGGGTTCCCATTGAGGGGGGCTGCGGCTACCCAAACGGCCGACCTGTATTTCCAGGTGTATTGAGTGAGGGAGTGAGTGAACAGCGTTGATGTGTCGCTGTTGTTGGCGTTTCGCGGAGATGGGCGATGCATCACATGGGTTTCTGGGGAGGTCTACCTTCAGAACTTTAGGTGACCGCCAACCTCTTATCCGGCTATCTTGGCACTTTCCTGTCCAGACTATCTGTGAAACCTCCTCCTGTGCTGCTTTACGGATCTGGTTATTTTTGTTTGTTTTGCCAAACGAATCTGTAGCCCCACGAGTTCATTTGCAACAAATTTGACCTTTTTGCAAGTGTCAACTCACTCCCTGAGTTCCTGGACTTTCGACTTGGGCTTGGACCCTTCTGGTGATAAGCAACAAAAGTTCCTGGACTTTTTTTTGGCCAAGCCACTCCATCGGAAGCCAAAGGCGGAGCCAGATCGAGGCTCCTCTCACTGGCTCAGACCGAGCTTTTCGAAGCTCACGGGCCACGATCCCAGCGAGCGGCCAAGCCACAAGAGCAAGCCATGGCGCGTGTGGCCGTGTTCAACATGGAGATTGCGGCCTGGCCGGAGATGGCTTCCGTCTTTTTTCGAACCGGGGGAACGCCCGGCCATTTTTTTGGGCCCCTTATGTTAAGACACACCTGGAAAACACACATCTGGCAGTGGTCAACATTTCGCGGAAGCCACCGAAGTTTCGCAGCCTATGGGGCTCGGTCGAAGCGGTCAACATCTCCAATAGCCTGTGGTCGTGGGGACATGGGCGGACTCCCTAAATGTTCTCCAACAAAGCAGGGCTCGATTTGTTGTTCCATGTCCGCTAGTAGTCAACTCTCATGGCAAAAACATCTCGGAAGCTGGTTGTGAGTATGCGGGTTTGACAGAGATACACCTTTCTGGGGCGTGTTTCCGTTTGGATGCTGCATTCAAAGCAGGATCTGAAAAGGGTTCGCTTCTGTTTGGCAACCGCTTGCAAATCCACGTAACCAACAATGGGAGGTGTCGACCAATTTAGTTTGCGAACCGTAGCGACATCTACTTTTTGTGATGATGGGGTTGTTTGCCACTTTGGGCCTCCTTTCAATTGAACTAGACGACCAGAAAGATGTGCATTCCCAGATGATTCAACCCCCCTTCTCCTGGAAATCTTCTAAATGGAAGTCAAATTGAGTAAGCCCGTTGGTTTGAACAGAAGTTACAATCAGCCTCTGGGGCAAACGAGCATGAAGAAGGCTCCGTCCTTTTGTGGAGGATCCCTTGTTGTCAGCATTGTAGAGCCTTGCCCAGATCATTCCGCCGCATTTATTAGGTTGGCACCGTCAACCCGGTCCTCCCTGTCGTCGCAGAACTCGTCAAGCAGGGCTGCGACGTGCGCTATTACCTGTCCAAAGACGCTTATGCCTTGCTGGCCTTGGCGGGTGAAAACGGGGCTCCAACTAGATTCTCCTTAGAAGGTGTTTTGTTTTCAACATCGCCCTTTTTGGAAAGGCCGACTCAACCTGCGTTTGCTTTCAGGATGATGCTTAGTGTGGAAAAGGGGACCCTTTCGCGTTTTCATCGAGCTCACCGAAACGGGGGAGCTTGCAAGGAAGCCAATTTGAAACCAACACGAAGCTCTTCCGACTTCGGAGCCCCAAAAGTTTGTTGCCCTTTTGGTCTCCTAACATTCAAAAGGCTAGCTCAGAATTTCTGGGGTTCCCTGCAAACCCCAAAATGCGCCGTGGTGTCTTTTTCCAAAATTGGAGATGCGCCTCGTGGAGGGTGCTTGAAGCAAACCAAAGGGACATGCGAGCAATGGAGCTTCATTTCTTTTGCTTGGCGACACCCGAACCATGTTTTGCTCCTGGGGTTCGATCCTACCACTTGGGTGCGAGTAAACCAGGGGTCCTTGTAGGTCCCTTTATGGTTCAAACATTACCTGTAGACAGAACAAGCTTACCTCGGGGGGCTCAGCAATAGCAATTTGTTTGTTTGTTGTCAATTTATAGGTACTTTCCTTTGGTCGTGTTTGAAGGGAAGCTAAACGGCATCCTTGACGCCCGCAGTTCACATGGACAAATGACAGCACACCCCTTTTGTTTTGCCCCCAAAATAAGCAACTCCCGAGGGTTTTATGAGGGTTTCGTTTTTCTTCCCATGGGGGTAAGGGGGGGTCCGTGAAGGTTGGCGGTTGGGGGTTGCATACCAAGGGGGTAACGGAGTAACATACTCCTGCACATTTTTCTCGGTTTTGGCTGAGGACACCTTTGCGAAGGATGTGGCCGACCTCGGAGCCAACGTCTACAAGTTTGACGACTTCTTCCCGCGCTGGGCCGAGCTTCTGGAGAGTAAGGCGCATGTTGTTTCCTTTCCACTGCGAAGTTTTCGTCAACCGCTGCTTGAAGTTTAGTAGTAGTAGTAGTAGTAGTAGTAGTAGTAGCAGCAGGAATAGCAGTAGCACTAGCAGTAGCAGTAGCAGTAGCAGCAGCAGCAGCAGTAGTACAACTTTATTATTATTATTAGTAGTAGTAGTAGCAGCAGGAGTAGCAGTAGCAGTAGCAGTAGCAGTAGCAGTAGCAGCAGCAGTAGTAGTAGTAGTCTTAGTAGTAGTAGCAGTAGTATTTATAGTAGTAGCAGCAGGAGTAGCAGTAGCAGTAGCAGTAGCAGTAGCAGTAGCAGTAGTAGTAGTCTTAGTAGTAGTAGCAGTAGTAGTAGTAGCAGCAGGAGTAGCAGTAGCATTAGCAGTAGTAGTAGTAGAAGTAGTAGTAGTAGTAGTAGTAGTAGTAGTAGTAGTAGTAGCAGCAGCAGCAGCAGCAGCAGCAGCAGTTAGTAGCAGTAGTAGTAGTAGTAGTAGTAGTAGTAGTAGTAGCAGTAGCAGTAGTAGTAGTAGCTTGAAGAAAAGTTATATAGCTACTTGAGTCGCCCACCCCCCCGACAATTTTCAATAGTCAACTTTTATGAATATTCAAAGGAAACACCGCCCAAGGCCAGGATTCGTGGGCAAATGTCCTACAGTCCTAGCCTAGGGTGTTTGGAGCTATACTGCTTGTTCCTCAGCGAGTGAGAGCGAGAGAGACTTCTTGGAGGTGAGCAACAATGAGACTATTTTGGTGTGTCGGTTTTTTTGGGTAACCCTTTTTGTGTGGTTTCGAAAAGAAACCAACAGGAAACCACAACTTTGGTGGGGTTTCGCAAACAAAATAAACACACCCATTTCTCATCATTACTGTTGCAAACGGGATAGCATGGGGCGTCCACTCGCTATACCTAGTCTAACTCACTTGTCAGACAGGGGGCTAAACACATGCTCGTCGGGATGGTTGTCAACTCTTGAGTGGAAGTCTTAGGGGTGACCTTTGCAGGTCAGTTTGGTTGAACATGGTGTCAACTGGTGCCCATCTTGTCGAACCACGACAACATGACCCGTTTGGGTGTGCCCAGAATAGGTGACCCGCTAAAGAGCTCTGCTAGAGAAAGATGCATGCCCACACCCATACACCCATTCTTGGACTCCATATCGCCACATGGACTTTTTTTTCTCTTTTCGGAACCTCCAATCGTTTCAATGGATACCACCAGCAATTGCAACCTTTGATTTTGTGGAAATCCGGTGATTCTGCTAGGAGGAGGCCGCGTGGTTGTCAGCTCACTATCCAGAAGGAGTGCCAGAACCCTCCGCAAGTGGCGTCCCCATGCGAATGCTCTACTACAGCCTGCCCGCAGGCATGTTCGGGTGGGGAACCGGGGGGTTTCAGGGGAAAACTCGGAGCCACCATTTCCGTGCTTTATTTTTGAGCACATCGCTTTGATGAGTCAAAGGGCGAAAGGGGTCTGACTAAAGACATGGTTTCAACAACTTTTGTATAAATCCTGCTTGTTAAACAACCGGGGGGGGGGGCGGTAGAAGGTGTGGAAAAGCCGGCAAACCGGCAAGCCTTGGTTGGGAGGGCAAAGCGGGTTTTGAACCAGACCAAACTGTCAAACTGGACGGTGAGACCTTTCAGAGGTCAGGCATTTGGCCCGAAGTCAAGGACTCCTTTGCGGGGTGCAGTCCACGAACCGCGGAAAGGCAAACCAGACGCGCTTGATGTAACCCCTGCGGGCCCTACACAAAAAAAGGTCGCCCAAACCCAAAAACCCGATCGTCAGAAACCCCAAAAACTGGTTGGAGGGTGGTTCTTGGTCAGCCGGAGGGGACCCTTTGGCCAGGTCTCCTTAAGGTACCAGTACTTTCCAGAGGCCTGGAACCCCAGGTTAGGTGCCGATCTTTTTTGAGTCACGCCCAAGCGACAACGTTTCCCTTGCTCCCTACTTGCAATGTTTATGGCAATGACCAAACGGCCCCTCGTGTCTCAGAATGAAGGAACTTCCGCAGGAAGGCCTGCATGTTTGCGGGGTATCTGGCCAGCTTCTGGCGAACCTTTTTGTCATGTGCAAACCGCTTTGAATACTCCTTTGGAAGGAGTGTCAACATTTAGCCGGTTTCTATGATACCAGAAGCCCTCTGTTTGTTCCGTTCTTTTTAACTTTTGGGTGTCCTTTGAAAATCGGCCCACCCGAAAATTCTTCTCCGAAATCTGCCGCGTTAGTTTGGCCGGGGGACACAACCTTGGATGGGATAGAACAAAGACATATCATAGGGTCTCGATGCGAAATTCGCCCACTGGGCTTTTTGAGGGTCGGGAACGGGAGGCGTGTGCCTGGGCCGGCGCCTGCTGGAGACCTGGTCCTCCTGGCGTCCGGATATCGTTTCGCGGCCCGATTTTTTTTGGGGGGGCGGCTTGGGGTCAAGGGAGAAGGACACTCCACGTTCCAACGTGAGCCACTTGCTCAAAACCCCGGTAGATGAAGGTTAGGGGACAATCCCCTTGCCATAAATAGCTGCGGATATCCGCCTTCTTAATTCCTTACATGGTTCTGGGGCGACCATATGACACGTGTTGATTGGTCTCGAAACCTCACTCTGAGTCCTTTGAACTCAAGTGACGGCGGAAAGCAACGGGCGTAGCGCCCCTTGTTGCGAGGCAGAGAGTTCGGGGTCGAAGCGTTCGCGGTCAATCGATAAGGTCGATTTTCAGGGAAGAAGACTCCCTTTGGGTTTCAACCAAATATTTCTCGTGAAACGACTCTAACTGGGACTGAGTCAAACATTGTGTCTCAAGTGGTGCACAGACGAATTGGATGCCATGACTCTTTCCAAGATGTGCTCAGAGATGAAAAGCTGGGGAAGCTGGGCGCAAGCATGGCGAGCGGTGCTTTTGAGCGGGGGTTCGCTGTTCAAAGGTCGATCCTTAGAAAGAACTGCAAAGCAAACGCACAACGATCACAGAAGTCTTCGCGCAGAAACACTTGTGCACCTGCGACCCAGCTGGTCTCAAAATGGCGCTTTAGGGAGAGAAAAGGAAACCAAGCCGTGGGTGGGTCTCCTGGATACCACCCCCCCAAACCATGAGTCTGTGAGGTTTGGTTGCCTCCAGTTTCAGCTTTGCGTAGAAAGTTGCGGCCTTTGGTCAGCACTCGACTTTCCAGAGGGCGATTCCTGGTTTACCTGGTGGTTCAATCAACTACCCAGGCCATCTACCCAAAAAAAGAACACCTATGTGGGCAAGGGTCACTTTCCCGGCTGCGAGGTGCTGTACAACTGCATGCTGCTCCATCCCTACCTCGCTGCCCGCAAGCTGGGCATCCCCACTTGCTCCTTCTCCACCTACCCGGGGCCAGGCAGAGCGCTTGGCGCGAACCAAAAGAGAAGCTCCCAAGGGATAGACGTGGAAAGTTTGGATCTCAATACGTTTGGGTGCCGATGGCCTTCACAATTTGGCTATGGGTCAAAACCAATGATACCATTTTGGGGTAGGTGCACCACCCATTTTAGTTTGTTTTTAGTGGGGATCGGGATGTTCACTGGGGGTGCGGGTTTTTGACCCATGGCCATTTCAGTAATGGTGCGGATGTCGCTTCGAATGGACTCAGACGCTTGCTCCCCTGCAAATATGGGACTCGAAAAGGGGCGGCTCCTCGCAGGAGATTCCTCTAGTAACAGGGCCCGGGCCCCAAACATGGGCCCAAGGATTTTTGTCCATGTCTTCATGGTGAGGAAGGCCGGTTAACGCGTTTGTCCCAATGGCCTGCTTTGTGCCACTAGACAGGGTGCAATCAATCGGAAGGGTCCCTCAATTTCAGGCGGCCTGCTTGGTTGCTATCTTGGCAAAATTTTATCGTCGCGGGTTGGGGTTGTTTTGCAACCCGGGGGCTTTATAACCCAAGTAATGAAACGGGATTTCCCACTTTCTTGCTTTGACTGTGAATGAGGGCTGCAGCAAGTCGCAACTTGCCGGAATATCAGTTCGATGGTGGCTTCCCCGACTTTCTATCTCTGTTCAGAAAAAGGGGAGAACTTACTAGCTGCAAACGGACAGCTGCAAAGAGACAGCCGGAGGGACGCTTAAGTGATTTGTTTCCCCTCATCATACGGCCGGCTTTCCTAATGAGAAGTAGTCTGCGAGGAAGCAGACGCATGAATAGGGCCCAGGGTCTTCTCAGGCACGGGAACCATCAAATGTGTAATGCGTCATGCAAGGAATTGAATATAGCCTTGTCCTCTGGTAAGCCTGAATAGCACTGTAGGGGCAAAAGGGGTCGCCATGGGATTTGTTGGTTTAGCCCTGGTTCAAAAGTAACATTGAGATTCGGAAAAGCCAAAAAACATATGCACTAGGCTACCCACGTACTTGTAGGCCCTCTATGCCAGGACCGTTGGGGAGGGGCATGCGGAATTCAGCCCTCGGTAGGGATTCACAAATCCGCTTCGACCAGGCACGCCGATGCACCTCTACGCGCTGAAGCCGCAGGAGAGGGAAGCCTTCGACCAGTCCTTGGCGCAAAGCCCCGGCTTGCGACCGGCGCAGCAGCTGAAGAGACGTGGTTTTTCTTCTTCTGTTTTTCCCCTTGTTCAGGTGGGTGGCTTTTGCAGCGGGGGGTTTGATGCATATTCGTATAAGATAGAACCTGGTTCTTCCTCGCTTTTGGCAGGTTTGTTGTAGCGATTTGGGGGGGAACAGGTATGGTCATAGAGGTATAGAAGCCTGGCTGTCAGGTGGATTGCCTAGAACTGGTGGACCCTTAGCCCCCGGTCTATTGGAGCATATCGGGCATTCCACTGATCAACTGCAAAAGACCAGGTCTGTTTTTGTCTACGCGCCCCCCCCCCCCCCCATTTTGGGTGATTTTCCTTTTGGCTTGTTCTTTAAAGCCACCAACAAAGGGCTACCCGGCCACCCTCAAGAAAGACAGACCCATAAAGCTTGATAGGGGACTCTTCAACAGTGGTTCCCATCGATCCCAAGAGTATTTTGAGGATTTCCAAGGGTCCACTTCCAAACAGTTCGCTTCGCTCGATTTGAAGGGAAGCCAAAGAGAACCAGCCTCTTTGCCGGGGGTCCATCCCGCAGCGCCCAAAACCTCCAGCGGCCAATTTAGTCGGTTCTGCTACCTGGTTTCATGGCAACAAGGCCTGTAAGGCAGGTTTTGGTCCATGTTTCCACTTACCAGGGTTGATTTTGGTACCGGTTTTGTGAGCCACAGCCATATGACCATGTTCGAACCAAACGTCAGTAGGTGTTGGGCGCTTGAGAGTCAGCTTGCGAACCGAGGCCAACGAGATCGCCAAGGAGTTCTTTGGGGTGGATGTCTTCGAGTCACAGTTGTATCTCGGCTTTCGTGAGGTCCATTGAAGTGAAGCCTTCAAGGGGGTGCTCAAAAGCACATTTTTTTTTTTTGAAAGAAGCCTTCAAGCGAAAGGATTCTGAAAAAACAAGTTTCAGCTTGCACCAAAGGGCAATTACGCGTGCGCGGAGATGTTCTTCCAGACCCTTGGTGTCACGGTGGGTCATGAACGTTTTTCGGGGAAATGGTGTTTGGGGCCATATTTTTGTGAGCCCCTGGTTGTACAATCTCCAAAATGAAGAGGAGAATGCAGGCGGAAATGGTTTGGGCAAACATATTTTTGTGGTCCCTTGGTTGCAATCTAAATGAACAGAATGCTTGGATGGAACGCCGCTTAGTGAGCGCCACTCACTCACAGACAGAGGAAAGGGCCCATTTTTCGCCACTGGTGGAACAGACTTCTCAGCCGGCAACGATTTTGCACCATGTGCGAGGCTCTCTCAGGTTGCACTTGTGGCCAGGGGCCGAAATTGGAGCTCCTTCTAGGTCCCCGGACGATGTCGCCTGAGCAGTGTCAGGGTTCTTTGTGTATCCCCTTAAAGGGTGGTTTGTGGTATATCACCAGTCGGTTTTTTGGAAGCCGGGCTTTCCTTCTGGCATGATTTGTTCAATGTCGAAAGCAAAAGGTTCCCATTGCCTATTGCCGGCAACCAGGGTTGGGCCTTCGTTTTCCCCAGCTGAACGCTACGGGGTCTCTGCCCAGATAGGCTGTTCCAGAAAGCTCCGGGGCTGGAGGAATATGGCCTGGGCGTATTTTTTATGCCCCTCCCCTTCCCAGCAAAAACCGGTAGGAGGTTTGTTTCAACACCGTGCCCCTGCCCGCTCCCCGCCGCCCCCGCCGCCTTTCCTGCAGGCTTTGCCGGTTCTTCAGCCCAGACAGGAACCTCGTGCTGCTCGGCCAGTACCCTTCCCTTTTGGGGTCGTTCGAAAGGGAACCCAAAGGAAGCCGCCCATGTCGAGGAGTTCCGCATTTGGAGTCAGAACCCATCATGTTGACCCCATATGAATCAACCCCGGTTTATTAATATGGGGGTGTTCTTTGATGACTCCCTAGTAAACCCAGGGACCCCCTATGAATAAACTGGGGTTGATTAATATGGGGTCAACATCAGAAGAGTTTCCCAATGAAATGGTCCGCTCAGCTGTGTGTTTGAGAAGCCATGGAGGCGGTCTGTCATCAACTTTTGCCAGATGACCAGCGCCCAAACCACTGCGCCCATTTTTAGTAGGACGCACGGCTACCAAACATGAAGCAAAATAATGGATGGAACCTGTTTCTCATTTTGAAAATCAAAATCCCTTTGAAATGTGAAAAGGGTAGTTGCCTTAAACAAAAACACACACACACACACACACACACACACACACACACACACACACACACACACACACACACACACACACACACACACACACACACACACACACACACACACACACACACACACACACACACACACACACACACACACACACACACACACACACACACACACACACACACACACACACACACACACACACACACACACACACACACACACACACACACACACACACACACACACACACACACACACACACACACACACACACACACACACACACACACACACACACACACACACACACACACACACACACACACACACACACACACACACACACACACACACACACACACACACACACACACACACACACACACACACACACACACACACACACACACACACACACACACACACACACACACACACATACACACACACACACACACACACACACACACACACACACACACACACACCACACACACACACACACACACACACACACACACACACACACACACACACACACACACACACACACACACACACACACACACACACACACACACACACACACACACACACACACACACACACACACACACACACACACACACACACACACACACAACACACACACACACACACACACACACACACACACACACACTCACACACACACACACCACACACACACACACACACACACACACACACACACACACACACACACACACACACACACACCACACACACACACACACACACACACACACTTAAACTCCAGATGGAGAGTGCCAATCTTTCGAGTACAGCTGATGAGTCTCGAGTACAACTGATGAGTCTCGAGTACAACTGATGAGTCTCGAGTGGGTGTAGGTTCGGCTTGCAGTCACTTGGTTTCCGTCTAGCTGCGAAAACGTTACAAGGTTCAACATGAAGCACACACAGCGAGAGAAACAACGGGCCAAAAGGACTTTGAATCACACGAGTTGCGCAGGTACGCGGAGTTGATCAGACTCCGTATCCTAGGAGCTTGCAAAGAGCTTCGTTGGGCAGAGCTTTGCAAGTCCTCTCTGCCCCCCTGCTGAGAAACCGAAAGGGTGGTGACAGGGCATTCTGTCACTCCGCACACACACGCCCCTTAATGAGGCGCGAGAACCACTTTTTCGGGGGGAGAAAAACCCACGCGCCCCAAAACCGGGCGAAGACCCCAACAGAAAACAAACGGAGCAAGGGAGCCCAAAAGAAACAGAAAGGCCCCAAGTTGGGTCTCCGCGGGCAAAACCCCAAACAAGAAACAAGAACAACGGGGAAGCCAGGTTTCGGGTCTCCGAGGGCAACAACCCCAACCAGCGCAAAAAACGACCTAGACCTTGTAGACGAAAGGGGCCGCGAAGGCAAAGAGGCAGAAGAGGAGCAGGCCATCCCTAACCGGGCGAACAGGAAGTACAAGAAATAGCCCAGAGAGGGAAAGAAAAGGAAAGGGAAGAAAGAAAGAGAGAAAGAGAGAGAGAGAGAGACAGACAGAAGCGTATTTAGGGCGTCGCAACCGCCCGGGGGAAAAAAGAAAGGAGCAGGGTGCGTATTTGGGGCGCCGCATCCCGCCCGGGAAGAAGGAACAAGAAGCAAAAGGCAGGGAAACAAAAAGGAGAAAAGAAGGAAGAAGGAAGAGGAAGAGGGAAGTAGTAGTATGCGTTTTTAGGGCGACGCATCCCGCCCAGATAGGAACAGAGGATGAAGACCAAGGCTCGCGGAGAAAGACGTCGAATCCCACACAGGGGCCAAGAGGACGGACCCGAAGTAGCAACGGAAGGGGAAGAAGACGTCAAGCCAAACTACGTGAGGAAGAAGAGGAGTAGGAACAGGAAGACAGACGAAGACGAAGACGAGGAAAAAGGTGAACAACGCGAGGACAACCAGGCCATCCCTAAGCGGGCGAACAGGAACGGGACGAACGCGCGGGTCACGAAAGGCAGCGAAAAGAGAACGGGAGGAAGGAGAAGCCATCCCTAAGCGGGCGAAGGACCAGAAGACGGGCACGCGGATGAAGAAGGCGAGGAAAAGGGGGACGAAGGGTGAGACGTCGCTATGATCTGACCGCTGTCTTCCCTTTAGTGAGACCTCGTTCCTGGTTAAATGTGAAATTCCGCCGTTCTATGATCAGTACGCTGAGGTCAAATTTTCCGACAGAGCCGGCCCGGGGTCACACAATGGGTACACCCGAGGATTCCCCACGAATGGGGTGTACACACTTAAACTCCAGATGGAGAGTGCCAATCTTTCGAGTACACTGATGAGTCTCGAGTACAACTGATGAGTCTCGAGTACAACTGATGAGTCTCGAGTGGGTGTAGGTTCGGCTTGCAGTCACTTGGTTTCCGTCTAGCTGCGAAAACGTTACAAGGTTCAACATGAAGCACACACAGCGAGAGAAACAACGGGCCAAAAGGACTTTGAATCACACGAGTTGCGCAGGTACGCGGAGTTGATCAGACTCCGTATCCTAGGAAGCTTCGTTGGGCAGAGCTTTGCAAGTCCTCTCTGCCCCCCTGCTGAGAAACCGAAAGGGTGGTGACAGGGCATTCTGTCACTCCGCACACACAC